AATGGGCCTAAAAAAGTTAACAGTCCCTTTTTGAGCCTGGTAGCATAGAGATGAATCACCCAAAAAATGGAAAAGCCAGGTATTCTGACATCTATAATTACATACTTCAGCAAGTTTCTGTGGGAGAACAGACTATCAGACCCATACCTTGAGATCTGCACATTATTACTGTATTTCTCAAAACATCCCTGAAAGTGGCTCTGACTTCAGCTTCCTACAGATACCCAGACTAATTCTCAAGCCTTTGTATGGAGATAAAATGTTGCAGCTCATCTTAGCTACTCAGTTTAGTCTACATCTGCAATTTTCAAGGTATTCTGTGCACTGCTCATCGTGTAGCTTAGTCTCAATGATAACTTTTCTGGGTTTGAAGCTGTTAAAAGGCTGATGAGCACGGCTCTGATCTCTGTGCTGTGTTATTTGCTCCTCTAATAACTTCAGTAATAAATCATATTTATATCAAATACTCTTTTCTTCTGGGTGTAAATCCTATCTGTACTTGCAGGTATTACACAAGCATAACTTCTAATCACCTTTGAACTAAAGTCAAAGGTAAAGATTCAAAGGACAAAGTTGAAAGCTTTATAGCAGATAGAGTGAGACTTCAGTTAACTTCTGTTCTGCACAACTGAAGCAACAAATGCGAGTGCTATTACACATGCAAAGAGAAAGCTAATGGAAAAGTAACACCTATTTCCATCAGCTTTTGTTAGGATGAAACTATTAACTTTTATTTGCAATGACATCTTAGTAACTTTAACTACCGAGCTAGAAATGCAGAGATCCCTTAAGATATATTAAAATTAACAGAAGGATCAAATCAGAATTAATGGTGTAATTTAAATAAACTGAGTAGCATGGGTCTTTTAAGACATGGCTTTATACAAGTGAAAGAGATGTTGCATTTCCTGGGCTGTTCAGTATCTGCATTAACAATAAAGATCCCAAAGCAAATCATAAGTTGGTAAAAGTTCTCCTAAGTACATTAAAGTCAACATCTATTTTATAGTGACAACAGTATATATGGCTTTAGTTATATTTTTATGATAGCACCAAAAGGCTCCGTACAGAATTTAGGGTTTCACTGTGTAGAACATTGCACCACTACATGGAAGAATAAAGTCCATGGCAAAAGCATTTAAACAATATAGTTCTCTTGACTTCGAATGTTTGGATGAAAATACAGATCAACTTTTACACCGAATCAAATGTAATGCCAAAAAGATGTTTTTTTTTAAACAAGTATCTTTTAAAAATTAGTAAAGGAACCTTAATTCACTCTTCTAGTCAGACAAATCTAAACAAGTAACAGTCATTCATCATCCAGATTTAAACCAAACTTTTTCAGCCAGGATAAGAAATAGTAAGAAAAAGCCATTATTGCTTCCTTATTACAAAAACAGTTACAAGCATGACAACTAACAGTGCATTTCTAGAAAAATATGAAACTTGTGACTTATATTACTTTGAGTCTTGGTAACACGTTTCCAAGCTTTGAATGCCTCACATTTTGCTGTATAATAGAACACTGTCACCTAATAACAACTGCTGGAGCGAGGTTTATGGTGAAACACAGGTTTGCTATAAATCTGAGATGAGAACGAAAAAAAAAGTCTGAAAGGGCAAAATTATATCCTCCAAAACACAGATCTCTGTATATTACTCAGAGACCACTGCCACAGCATTTAATCCCATCATAAATACACGTAGTCTCTGAGAAATATTTCTTTGAGCAGGGCAACTCATTTTAAAGATCTGGGACATACACAAAACGAATAGGTTTGTCCTGTTGTACCACAGAAATTGCTACAAAATCAGCAGCTGAATCTGAATCTCAAAATTATAACTGGGACATAACCACAAGATCATCACTTTCATGATAAGCAAAAGATGCTCCAAAAATCTATTTGCAAATTTACTGGTTTTAGAAATTAATTTCGCTGGAGGAGGATGTTTAGTTCACCAATACCTATTTCCCACAGAAAAATCATGTTCAGGTTTCCTTTGAATACGTAACAATGAAGCTGTTCTAAGCACGAAGACATCACCTTAAGTAAAGGAGGAGGAATTTGAAGAGGTGTACCTTTTATGCAAAGTCATGTTTCGGCTTATAATTAATGAACAATCTGTGCAAAATCTACTCTGACATGGACTCGAAGTGGAGCATCACAGAAAAAACATTCTTGAAGCCTTCCAGTTTATCTGTGCACAAGGACTGAAGAAAAAGACAAGTAAACGGTACAGAGTCGGTGCATAGCATAAAAGCTCTAAAAAAAACCCCAATTGCCTTCTGAAGTTATCCTTAAAGCTAGAAGGTACCATCTGATGGAAGCACTCCACGAGACAGGCAGAGAGCACACATGGTGTGTTGCCCTCTCAGGTAAGGCATCTCAACTTCATTCTTAGTTTTTCCCTTTTTCGATCGTTCCTTTTTCCATGTTGCTTGAGTGAGAAAGAGAACAAAGTATTTTTCTTTTGATCTCTACTCACCACTGTGGGGAAGGGAAATAAGAATGCATTTCAATTGTTGTCTACCCCTATGCTACCTGCACTTAATTTTTAAAAACCTCAAACTGTTACACCATATTCAGTCTTGAAATCATCAGCTATTTGAAATAGTAGACTGGCAACAGAAGAAGGAAATAGCATCCATGGTGTCAGCCCTATCCCCAGCTCTGAAATTGTTTCAAGATAAGAGGACGGCACCTTGAGGGCAAATGTAACAGTTGCTAAAAATACTACTGCTTTTAAAGACATAGGTCTTTATGTAATTGTGCTAATAGTATACTACTAACTCACACTATTTCTGTAGTGGAATATTGGTTGGAATATCTAGCTTTTAGAAAACTTAATTCCTGCAAAGTTATTATTCTGATGTTTATGTTGCATTGAGCTGCTTCAATATAGCAAGGCTAACTTGTTAATTAACAGCACAGCTTAACCACGGCAGTTTCTTCTAACAAACATTAAACTATCCAATGCCTCACCAGCTTTGTACTCAGCAACAAAACTCCTGTATTTTCACCTTGTCAAATATACATTGCTGCCTTTAATATAACCTGAAACAACGTAATCAATTCACTCCCTACTTCAGTTACCGGGACTCACCACATCATTTTTACAAACTGCTAACACGCTCCTCTCGACTAGCAACCTACTTCTCCAGCTTTGCCTAACGACTACAATTATCAGCCAGTAGAACCTGGACAGTAGATACCCTACAGCAGTGAGTCACTCAAGCTCAAAATAAGAAACTTTAAAAATACTGTTAGGAAAATATAGAGAACTAAACAACAAAATTAAAATGGCCTCCAAAGACAATTTGAAATGTGAAGTTAGCTGAAACACGCAAACTAACAACATTTACTCAACTACTCAGTATGAAAGTTTGTTCCTTGTGGTAAACTGGTGTTTAACATCTCCAGTAAGGCATTTGAACTTTTTTTCGCTTGTCCTTCGAAAAGAAGGCACATTAAATCACCACATTCCTCTGAAGGGAAGAAAATACGGCTAGAGACAACTGACAAGGAAAACGATTCTCAGTTGTAGAGAAGCAGAGGCAGACAGGATATCGAAGTAGAAAATGGACTGAAGAACCTGGATAAAGTACTGAACTTGTTGAGAAGGAAGAAGCCTGAGGAGCTTTCCCAATGTGTCTATTTGCACTGAAAGAACACTCCATTTCATCCCTTGCCAGGCACGTTTCTTTAAGCCAGGAAGTTCAGCACTTCAGAACAGAAGTCTGTCGCTACTCTATGTTCAGATGAAAAATCCAAAAATTGACACCCTCCCAAACTACAATTTTGCGAAAGTCCGCTCTACGTTCCAGAAAAATGAGGTATATATGGCATTTAGTACACTAAAATAAGCTTACATGTAATTTCCATTCCAAAATCCTTCTAGGACTTTGTGGCCTGTGATTTGGCATATGAGATACGAGAATTCTCTTCCTGCCAAGAAAACACAGATTCTAGCAGCGTTTCATAGTCAGTTAACAGGCATTAATTAAAGCCTGTAAGAACAGTTTCAGATACAAAGCTTCTAAGGTACAGTCACCTGCAATTACGATTCATGCTTTAAATGCAGAAAGACTAAGGTAATACACTTGTGTGTTACAGAAAACATCATAGGCATCAAGAGAGTAGTCTACAAAGCCACATTTATTTGCACATGTACAGAACAGAGCAACAGATGTTATTGTTTTCCATACAAAATTCTATAAAAACAGTATTCACCTTCATAGATAACACTATACCACTTTAAGTTGTATTAAATACATTCAGAAAGCATTCTTGCACGCACACAACATTAGTATTTAGGTAGTTCCAGGTAACTCCAACACTGCAATGTAATTATTCCTAGTGGTATGAAGGGATCAAAGATTAGTCTGCAACTAAAATAAAAAGAATCCTAGTGAGAAGCAAGCTGAAGTCTTTCCTCCAACTGGCCATCAAAGCAAGGAACATCATTAAACAGATTAACTGTCTCCAGAACACAGATGTAAATACTACCAAAGCACCTGCAGAAGGCAGGTAAGAGCGGTATTCCAGACTGACTTGAGCTATCTCGGCCAGTGTTAACATTCCCATTTAATCACTGCTTGCCTATGGATAGGAAAAGGTTTTATAAAACTGGAAGATAGAATTGAGTAAGAACTCGCAATTACAGAAGAAAAGTAGATCTGAATCAACTACTTTCCCTTCCTACCCAGCACTGGAGAGATTACTCCCTTTACTGGGTCTTAAGATTTTCATGCTTGCAAGGAATAGCGGGGAAAAGCAAAATTTTACGTTTCCTGCAACACTGCCTCCCTACATATGATCTAAAATGGGGAATTTAATTGTCAACAGGACATCTCAATTTATTTAAAACGCACATTTATTTCTACAAAAAAAAAGGTGTATAATACAGAAGAAGTGATCACACCTACTTCAAGGTTTACCTATTAAAATATACAGAGGATCTTAATGAGTACAGGATATTTAAAAAAAGATGCAAAGGAGTGTTAATCTTTTATTTTTACATTTTCAGGAACTTCACATAATTTTGGTAAGTAACCTTTTACAAAATTATGTAAAAAGTACAAGAATGCCTGGTAAACAGTCTGCATTTTTCCAAAAGATTTTTTACAGCATGCAATTCTTAAGGCAGCCTTCTCTTCCTCCTTACAAGGAATCCTTTCACTCAAATAATCTTCCGCTGCAAAGATTAGGCTAAGGAAGCTTGGTCTCTTCTGTTAACGCCTTTTGTCTTTCCTGTCTGATTTACGGTCTCTTTCACTCCGTGAAGTTCTCTTCCCTGACCGACTACTTTCTGATATAGACCTCTTTCTGTCAGATCTTGAACTTTTATCCTTTGAGCTTTTGGTATCTCTACTCCCACCTTTTGAGGACTTGTGACCTCTGTCTACTCCTGAAGCATCCCTTCGCTTCCTGTCCGTGCTCCTTCTGCGTTTTCTATCTCTGTTATGCCCTCTTCCTCGGCTTCGACTTCTACTTTCACTAGTGCTAGAGCTACTGCTGCTACTATCCCTGCTAGTACTTCCACTTGTAGTGCTGCTACTGGTGGAACTACTCCGACTGCTACTGCTGGCAGTGCTGGAACTACTTCCACTACTAGTACTGCTAGAAGTACTACTGCTACTGCTGCTGCTGCTACTACGGCCATGACCAGTTTTGTTCCCTGCTCTACCCCTGCTTCTACTCCTAGTCTTAGTCTTAATTTCTGCACTTGGTGTCTGACTCTGCTCTGTCTGTGCCTCAACCATCTTTACAGACACCACAGCATTTTCATCCTTGTCTGCCTGGGGCTCTGTATCCTGAGTGGACTGAGACAACTGAGGTGACTGTGGCAATGGCACAGACTGTTGCTGAGATGGAGCCTCAGCCACACGTTCTGGCTGAGCTTCAGGTGCCTTCTCCTGTTTTTCTTCAGGTTCAGCTTCAATTTCTGGTTTGACATCTTTCTCCTTCTCAGGAGAAGGAACATTACACACTTTTTCTGGTTGAGCATCACACTCTGTTTCTGGTTCCACTTCTTTGCCATTTTCATTTTCTACAGCTTCTACACTATCTGCCTCATTCATTTCAGCCACATCCTGCTCATTATCCACTGGCTGAATGTTTTCACTTTCCTCTTTTACAACTGTGACCTCTTCATGCTGACCATCCTGTTGCTTGTCATTCTCCCTCACCTCAGTAGTCTCTTCTACTTTAATCTCCATTTCATGTTTCTGTTCATCCTCTTCCTGTTCTTTCTCTGCATCGCTATGCCCTGAACCTGTTTTTCCCTTTTCCTCCCCTACCTCCTCCATTTCTACATCATTGTGCTGATTACCTGTCTCCAACTCTTCCACCTGCTGAGCCACCTTACCCTCTTCCTGCTCCTTGTTCTGTTCTTCCTTCTTTTCTTCATTGTGCACCTCCTGATGTTCTTTTTCCTTCATAGATTGTCTTCTGGGCCTGGCCTCCATTTTGTTAATCTGCTCTGCAAATTCATTTCGCCTGCTTTCAAAGAGTGCTAGGGAATAAATGCATAAATAAGTTTCAGATAATCTACGGACACTGAAGTCTATTTTCCCCTTAACTATGAGCTAATAAGTTATCAAATTGTTTTAACTTATAAATACTGCATCCTTATTCATTCTGAAGTAGCAAGCCATTCATGCATAATGAAAAGGACTGCTAGTTACCTTAAGAAAACAAAGCAAAGGGGATAGTCAGCTCAGCTGAGTATCAGAACAGTAAAGCCCTAAATCTAAGCTAACAGAGTTTTTTACTTCATTAAAATCAGTCCAACCAACAGTATAGCAAAATAATACCTTAATTTCCTGGTATTTATATATTAACAAGGTTATACTTCCTAAGGTAAACAAAAGACAGTAAGAATCAGTAAAAAGCTGGTTAGGTATTAAGAAAGCTAAATAACGTAAGCTATTCAAACAGATGAGCTAGCTTCTCTTATCCCCCAACCCCACAAAATGAAGAAAAGGTCCTTAAGAAAAAAAAAACCACAACACATTCTCAGTTTAACGAAAAAGAACAGTAGGACTACCATCAACCGCAGTATTTTAAATTGTTTTCCAAAAGAAAAATATAGTCTTCCTGTGAAACAGAAATGAACAGACATTAAGGTAAAAAAAAAAATAATCATCACAAAGTTACAGTGCTGCGCTTAAGAAAATGCTTTTCAAATCCTTTGTAAAAACTTGCATTTCTTTGGGTCTTCAATCCACAGAATCTGCCTCTTCAAAAACTAAGTTCCTGCACTGGCATACATCTAGGTACTAAAGCTAACATAAAGGACTATGTTTTAAACACATACCTCTGAGATTATTCTTACACCTCTTTTGACTTCTTGTAAGAGAATCAAAGCACTTCCAACATAAAAATAAGTCACTGAAAGAGTAAGGTTCACTTATAATGAACACCCATGCAAGAAACATACAGTTTGTCCTAACCATGAAATACATGTATTTAAGCAGAGAGACTTAAAAGGAGTTTGTACAGCAAACATCGAGGGAGGCAAGAACAAGGGCCCTTATATCCAAAGACCACTTACCATTCATCTTTTTCTGTGACTCTTCCATCAACTTCTGCGTAGCAGGACACATTCTGCCAGGTATGTAGAATAAATGGGGTTTTGTCTTCGTTCTTATGTACTTAATTATTTTAGCATTATGTTCATTCCATTCTTCTTGCTGAGAAATGAAAGAAAATTACCCTAAGATACAGAAGAATAGTTTAAACGAGCAAGATCAAGAGCAAAACCAAAACTCACCAACTGAGCAAGCTCAACCTTTTGCTCCAGTAACCGCAGCTCTGTCTGTTTAGCACGTCTTTCTTCAAACAGTTCTCGCCTTTCATTTTCAACTTGCTTCCTTTCTTCCTCTGCCTGCACTTCAAGTTTTTGTTCAATTTCTTGTCGTCTCTTTTGCTAAGATAAATAAATAAGTATCTTACATGTTTTTTTCTAAACCAAGAAGGTGTTCTATTGGTTCAAGGTTCAATTAAGATTTTGAATTATTTACACCCCGTTACAGACATTCCTAAAAACACATCAAGAAATATCTCCTAGATTACATGTAATGGAAAAAAAGAGTGTCATTGCTTGCTGGCATCTAATCTTTTGTGACTTAACTATAAAATTATGGGATCCCCTGTGGATTTCTATCTGCTTTTCCATCATTCAATTTGGATCTGAACTTTCAACACAAGCTTCAACATGTCTTTTTTTTTTTTGCAATGGCAGAAAAAAAGAAATAGATTTCAGGTATTTCACTTGGAGGGGAAAAATGTCAACTCCCCCAGAAACAAATGAAGGACTGCAGACTGGTACTTGTGACCAACAAAACAAATTACATTGTGAATACTTCCAGTATATTCATCCCTAATTAGATATATTACTGTAATCCAGAAATGCCCTGGATGTATGTTCTAGATGGCCATATATTCAGATTGTACAGTAGTTGTCTATTAAAAGAACACGATTTAGGGCTTAGACAACGAAACAGCTGTGTCCTAAAAATTCTCAGGCTTATACTTCAATTAAGCTTTTACGTATGAAGAGAACAATACCTATACAAATTCTCAGAAAAACGCTGCAAAGAGCAGTAACTCCTTAAAGTCTCTTTATGCAAAGACCTACTACTATAAATTAGACAAGGACTCCATGTTTCTAGACCATCCTAATTCATAGTTTCTTGTTCTACAGGCAAGCAGGCAACAGAGCGCTTTGGTCCTTTCTCATGCGCTACATGACAAGTTAGATAAAACAGTAAAATATCCAAATACTGAATCTTAAAGTAACCAACACCAACACTGCAAGCCAGCTATGCTAACACTACACAGAAAAGATTTTAAGTTTAGAGACTGCCACTCTATTCCCTGCTTCCACCGGACCGCCAAAGGTAGAACTTTCAAACCCTGTTTTTAATCTAAAGGTTATTGGTATTAACTGAATACTGCCCATTCAGGGCAACAGCAAACAAATACCATACCCTCCACAATTTAAAAGGGCATACTAGGAATAAAGTTACCACCATCCTATGTACAAGTTTTCTGAAGTTACCACCTTCAGTACGATCACAAATGCATTTATTAAAAACAGGAACTCTTGCTATCTGTACTAGGAGGGAGAAGTCATTTGTAGTCAAACACACAGTGTAACACAACCGTACATTTCTGTATACTTGGTTGCAATTTAAACATCTGGAACACATCAGGGCAGACACTGCTTCAGCAATACTGAATCACCATCATTTACAGAAGCAGTCTATGGCCTATTACATAGTTACCTGATTAAACTCCATTTACTTTGAAATGATTCCCAAATAACGTTAAGTGAGAAAAAAGATCATCTATTTTGTGTCTTACGCATTTAAAAAATGCACAGCAATTAAAAAACCATCAGCAAAACATTGCCTTTTCACTTCTGCAATGGTCAGAAATAGTGTTGTAAAGTCATGAAATTGTTAAGAGTCCTTTTCCTGCCTCCCATCCCAATTCCACTACACTAAACCAAACAAAAACCTACATGCACTCTTACCAATTTGTTCCATCTGCAACTTACACCATGGGGAATTTTCATTCCTATTTGAAGCAGATTATCTACACAATTTTGCTTTATTATTTACAATCTAGAATCTGATAGAACTAAAAATAAGTACCCTTTCAGTAGCAACTGTGGACTCCTGCTTAAATTTTTGAAGAGTGCCCATCAACAAGCCAAATATACGTCGATTCCTGAATAAAAACAAAAAGAAGTTTGAGATTCAGTTCAAGTACTAAGATTTTTATATGCATAAACAATCTGTGAAACTTTCCACCTCAGACACGTTTATTTTTAAAGGCTGAGTATTACTCAAGGCCATTAGCAACAGAACACATATTGACTGTGCCAACAGACAAGGATATAATTTATAGTGACATATCATATTTTGCTTAAGAGTAAAACATAGCTCTTATCCGTAACACAGCACAGCCAGCACTAGGAAAACTGGAAGCCTGCACATTTTATATCTGGAAATAATGACACTAAGGAAATATTAAAAGAAGAGATCCAAAAGCAGAGTACTGAAGAAAAGGTTGAGTAAATACAGTGTGAGCTATCAATAAGGCAGTGAACTGGAAGGTCGTTGGACTTTCTGAAAAACACACCCCCCTCAGCCTCACTCAGAGGATTAAGGAGATATGGAGCCACAGGGGAGTGAAAACTTACATGTCACAGTCTGCCTTAAAAAAAAAAAAAAAATCTTCTACAAGGAGACACTGCACTGTGGGATGGAAACAGAATTGCTCTCATCCAATTAAGTGCTGTTTTGAGAAAACTTAAATAAGCAAAATTCTTCAAGGAAATCCCTTCTTCGGAAAAAGAACCGATCTCTTGAACTTCACCTTTTCTTTCTTTCCATTTAATCAGAAATTAAGCCTTCACAGCAAGAAGCAGACTCTTATTTGCCTTGAAGTTTTACCCAATTAAGAGAGAAAGGAAATGCTACTCTTTTCACTCAGTACCACTCTATCTACTACAGTGGCACAAACTTGACACGGAAAGGTAAAGATACTTGTATATTAAACAGTAGAAAAAGGAACAAAGAATAAAAAATTGAGAGCTAGAGATTACTCAAAGTTTATTTGTCTATGAATGACATCCCAGAAGACACTGAGCAAAATCAAGAGTTAGAATCATAGAATGGTTAGGGCTGGAAGGGACCTTCAAAGGTCATCTAGTCCAACCCCCCTGCAAGGAACAGGGATATCTCCAACTAGATCAGGTTGCTCAGGGCCTCGTCCAACCTGGCCTTGAACGTCTCCAGGGATGGAGCATCCACCACCTCTCTGGGCAACCTGTTCCAGTGTTCTACAACTCTCATGGTAAAAAATTTTTTCCTAATATCCAACCTGAATCTACCTCCCTCTATTTTAAAACCATTACCCCTTGTCCTATCACAACTGGCCCTCCTGAACAGCCTCTCCCCATCTTTCCTGTAGGCCCCCTTGAGGTACTGGAAGACCGCTATAAGGTCACCCCGGAGCCTCCTCTTCTCCAGGCTGAACAGCCCCAACTCTTTCAGCCTGTCCTCATAGGAAAGGTGCTCCAGCCCTCTTATCATCTTCGCGGCCCTCCTCTGGACCCTCTCCAACTGGTCCATGTCCTTCTTATGTTGGGGACTCCAGAACGTCCAGTTCAATGGACGCTGCCCTTTTAAATACCCTCTTTCCACCACAAGTCACACAGAGATCAATACTGTTTCTCTCATCTCCTCAGAAGATTACTGAAGTGCAAAACAGTAAAACTACATCTCTGAGGAAACAAACTTGTAGTGCCTGAAGCTCTAGAAAGTTCATGAATAATTTTGAAAGTCCTTCTGCGAGGAAAGCAGTGTGAAACTGGTGATGGAAGCAACAGCATTCCGTTAGTTGTAACTGTAAAAGAAGCAAGTGAGGTGCGTTTTCTGCACTAATTGATCTGTGGTCGTTATCAGAGCAGTTTTCTATTGTTCCTTATTCCAGTTCTCATTCTTCTATTTATTTGACGTATGGGTTATTACTAGACCAGGTGAGCTGCAAACTGAAGTGGATGGAGTCCAAGAGGTTGGACACAGTTTTGTGTATTTGCTTTTCCAACACCTCTTCCCAATAGAACTGCATTTTAGCAGTTTTTATGAGCTACCCGGACACAAATAAAATTACGAAAAGGGAGGTATACATAGGAGGAATCTGAAAAGACGCAGGCAAAAGGAAGGTCAGACTGTACACACAATAACGAACCTGAAAGTAATAAAATACACATACTGCATTAAAAAAGGCAGAAATCCACACCCAAAAGCCTCCTTCAACCAACAAAATAAATGATGTACCAAGACAGTTGTAGCAGTTCAAAATGTTAAGTAAGCAATGAAGAGATACATATCTATATCTATTTCTGTCTTACACAAAGATGATCAGTTACAAAAGCACTAGCAATCATGTTCCTGTAGGTGGCCTGAGAAGCAGAACCCCCGCCAGTTATGTGAAGTGAACTCCGTGTTGTTACTGCTGGGAAGTATTTTGAGATAGTATTTTTAAAAATCAATTTTATACCACTATGGTACCTCTTCAACATCACCTTTGACACATAACAGCATCTGTATAATGCTTTTTAAATCTAAAGCCACTTTCTACGCTAGCACTCAGAGGTACCACATTAGTGCTTAAAAGAGATTTCTGCATACCTTTGTTTTCCTTTCTCATCCATATTTTGATCTTGTATAAGGTCTCGACGTGTTCGCTCTTTGGAGGTAGCAACAACAGAAGATGGCAACGCTGGCTGTAACAAAGGAAAACAAACTACTTTGCTCATGTTCCAGATAAGTATGTTTCTCCCTGCACAGCTCCATTTGTCACGTATTACCTTTTTAATATCATCATCCTCTGCGTCGCTTTCTTGGCGTGATTCTCTTCTTGTCCGACGTTCTCCACCCAGCCTGAGGAAGAAAAAGTATTAATGGTCACTAGAGAACACATATTTAGGACAGTATCTGTTCTAACATGAGAAAAATACAAGTCAGCATTATCTAGTCAGAAGAACCAACGCTTCCAGTAAGAGTCTCCCCACTGTTCCAATGACCAGTCAGGAGCATTTTACAGACAGAATCTACTGTTGGTAAAAATTAGTGAGAGAAAACAGTTTAAGTTTTAATACAACTTGCACAGTAAAATAAAAAAGAAGAGTCTGCATTGCTACCACATTTGACTTTGTAGAATACTTTCACGTTTTTTTTAATGTTTGCACTTTTCTTTTTCCAGAACCTCTGAAACGGCTACTGGTATAACGAAATTGCCAGACAGATTTATATGCATCAAGATATAAAGGTTGGTATGACTTTTCAAATGGGAAATTCTATTTCATTTACCTAGCCAAATACCTAGAAAACGGGTGAGGAGGGGCAGAGCACTTAGGACCTGAGAACTTGGATAAACGGAGGCTTTAACCAAGAAGGACTAGACAGAGTGTTCAATAAAAGTCATTCTCAGCTTTCACTCTCAGCTTTATGGCACAGCATTTTACTACGAGTAAAGCAGTTTCACAGTATTCATTTTGTGTTAACTCAAAAATCCAAAATCAAGAACTAAAGTCAAGAACTACCACTGCCCATAGAATGAAGCTCACTATAATCAGTCACAACTGACAGATCTGCATCCAGATGTGAAAGCTCAAAATCGGAGTCTATCACACTGTTTGCATTCAGTTTATTGAATGGGAGAGCTCAGTCATAATTCAATTTGTGTCTACTGTAAAACAAACCTGGGCTACTAAGCACAAATATGACATGGCAGACTGTACACCAACTAAACCAGAAAATTCCAAGAATCTTTGTATTGCTGTATCTTTAAATTATTGCTATAATCTTTATACTGCTATAAGGTACGAACAAAATTTCACCACGGTCAATTGCTATCATCCAAACATATTTCCAACAAGTTCTGAACACGTAACCTCTCAAGACGACAGTGAAAGTCATCAGTTATTAACAGTTATTGAAACAAAGTATTTTAAATTTACTGTTACAAATTCTCATTCCGATAAAGCAAGTTCTCTGCATCAGTTTGCGCACCCACCTACTGGTTGCCCCTTCAAGATCCCTCTGTTTGGCTGGGGGTCCTCCTCCACTATCCGAGAATCCACGCCTAAAAAGAAAACGCTTGTGATCTCAGAACAAGTTAAGTAACCCCAGGTTCACCTTGAGCCTGCACGATCAAACTGTGTTTTAGCTTTACGGTCATGGTATAACAGTAAGTTTTACTCATCTCTATCATCATTTTCTGTTACTACTAATAAAGCATTTAAACGTACTGCTTGTGGATCAACTAATTCAAACTTGAATTTCTGCACTTATTCAATCGAGTAGTTACATTCAATCAAGGAGACTCATTATAGGCAAGTGCTCTTATCTGCAATAATTTTCAAGATGTATTAAGTCTTAACCAGCAGTTTAATATTGAAATTCATCAAAAAATCCACTACATACTCTATTATGAGTATGAAAGAATTACTAAACAAAAATGGGTCTTTTCACTCTACTTGACACAGAGGGGGAAAGGAGGAAGGAAAAAAAAAAGAAAAAAAAAAGGAAAACCCACAACAAAACACTAGTGGTTTTACCTACGTGTGGTCTAAAATTCCTGTCGACTTCAACTCTTTCTATTCTTAATGGAAAAGCTGCCAGTTTCTTAATTACTGAGAGATTGGTTTTGGACAATTTGAAAGAGACAAGCTCCCAGATAACACATAATACCTCCCTTAACTTCGACATACCCCCTTATTTTTCAGGCTAGTGGCTAAAAGGGTTAAGGAAAAGCACCAGTTTAAACTCCTCATAACTCAGAACAAGAATGTATTTTAAATTTTAGGCTGTGACACAAAACCCCAAACGCCCCGGGCGTAGGCCAGCTTTGGTGCCTGCTCGCCAGCACAAAGAGGCACGGGGTCAGAAGAGAAACACACAACACCCCAGCGTAAGGGCAGCAAACCAACGCCAGGGTAAAGGGTGGAAGAAACCCCACCGCCCGCTTCCGCAGCCCCTTACCTCA